CACAAGATCTTGCCAATGCTCTACAACTCAACAAAGTAACAACAATATACTTATTCTTCTTCCCCTTCACTTCACTTTTTCATTTACATACTTTTCACACAGACACTTACCACACTTAACCTTTATTGCAATAAAATCGGTGATGAAAGTGCACACGATCTTGCTAGTGCTCTACAAATTAACGAAGTAACAACAATACTTATTCTTCTTCTTCCTTACTTCACTTCATCATTTACACACCTTCCACACAGACACTCATCACACTAGGGCTCAGATCCAATGAAATCGGTGATCAAGGAGCACTAGATCTTGCCAATGCTCTACATATCAATAAAGTAACAACAATACTTATTCTTGTTCTTCTTCAATTCACTTCATCGTTCACACACTTCTCACATAGACACTTACCATACTAGACCTCGGACAGAATAACATCAGTGCTAAAGGGACACAGAATCTTGCGAATGCTCTACAAATTAACAAAGTAACAACGATACTTATTGTTCTTCTTTACTTCACTCCGTCATTCAGGCACTCACCACACTCGAGCTCTCATTCAATGAAATCAGGGATAAAGGAGTAGAATATCTCGGCAATGCTCTACAAATCAACAAAGTAACAACAATACTTGTTCTTCTTTCTCTTCACTTCATTTTATCATTCACACACGTTTCACACAGACACTTACCATACTAGATCTCGGAGAGAATAACATCAGTGCTAAAGGGGCACACGACCTTGCTAATGCTCTACAAATTAACAAAGTAATAACGATACTTATTCTTCTTTTTCACTTCCCTCCGTCATCCACACACTTTCCACACAGACACTCACCACACTCGAGCTCTCATTCAATAAAATCGGTGACCAAGGAGCACAAGATCTTGGCAATGCTCTTCAAATCAACAAAGTAACAACAATACTTGTTCTTCTTTCTCTTCACTTCATTTTATCATTCACACACGTTTCACACAGACACTCACCACACTCAACCTGGAGAAGAATACAATAGGTGATCAAGGAGCACAGGATCTTGCCAATGCTCTACAAATTAACAAAGTAACAACGATACTTATTCTTCTTCTTTACTTCACTCCGTCATTCAGGCACTCACCACACTCGAGCTCTCATTCAATGAAATCAGGGATAAAGGAGTAGAATATCTCGGCAATGCTCTACAAATTAACAAAGTAATAACGATACTTATTCTTCTTTTTCACTTCCCTCCGTCATCCACACACTTTCCACACAGACACTCACCACACTCGAGCTCTCATTCAATAAAATCGGTGACCAAGGAGCACAAGATCTTGGCAATGCTCTTCAAATCAACAAAGTAACAACAATACTTGTTCTTGTTCTTTCTCTTCACTCCACTTCATCATTTCCGTAGACACTCACTACACTCAAGCTCGGAAATAATCAAATCGGTAATGATGCACGCGCACGACTTGAGAAAATATGCGAAGAAAATATTGGACTGAAAATAAGGTTTTAGTGAAAATCATTACTAACAGTAGCAACCACAAACAAGAATGCTTTTACTTTTAATGTTTATAAGATTTTTTTATTGATTCAACAAATATATGTAATATCGTGCAGCAATAGGAGTTTTGTTTCGTGTCCATAACTAGTAGAGACTACAAAACTATGACGATTGTTAAAGGTGTCATATTTGCTCCGATGTTACTTGAATCACTGGTTGGTGGCCGTCTAAAAGCAGTTGCTTGACGGGGAGGGATGAAAGAAAAAGGAAATTCATGAAATAATTCGCATGGTTTTATCGTAGAACTTAAACAAAAAAGCCTTTTTGCTATTGAGAAACTGATGATGATCACATCTAAAGGAAGAAATGTCCGTTGCTTTGTTCAGTAGAACGCATGTGAGATTGTTTCCGTAGCATTAGTTTGTTTAGAGGCACTAGTAAATATTAGTGAGGCGAATACATTTCGAAACGTGCAAGCTTGGAATATGTTAGTGGCAAGTCGACAGTATATCAGTGCCTGTTTGTTCGAAATAAAGAACTCTCATGCAATATTTTATGTATGAAAGATTGAT